ACAACTCTAAGTAATATTGCTGTATTGAACAATCTAAACTCACAAGCCAGTACCTACAATCCCTAAGACTGCTTAACAATTTTGGGATATTAAGTATTTATACTTAACTACATTAAAATATATATAAATAATATATGATAGAAAATTGAACATATATTCATCTTTGGGCCTTCTATTTTGCCTTTTCAGTCTTAACATTTTTGAAGCTTCTCCATGCAACAAGATCTAGAGAATTTCTCTTAATTATTTTGATAGAATTACCTAGTCCTGTGAGTCCGCGATCTAGTGCCTGAAAATAGGCACTAGTTTACAGACAAACGGGGGTAATGTTGTGGACATCAGTAATCTCCTGTAGTTAAAAATATAATTCTTGTAGGATCAAGTTATCCTCTCAGTTGTCCTAAATGGTAACACCACTGCACCTTCTCTGATTTCAGTGTAGCTACCACTGATGTCTAGTGGTGTGAAATCAGTATGAGGCCTCGTTTGATTCAAGTACACAGAAGGTCAGATCATCGGATCTTCAAAGTTGATATATTTGCTCCTATTTTTATGAACCAAGTGTTTGGTTCCAAGTGCTTGCCAGTTGGCACAGAATTCTTACTCTTGGGTTTCTTCACATATCCAGCAGAAATATTCATGTTTAAGAAATGAGTCAGAAATGCAGCTCTGTGATCCTATAGGTATAGATCCATGTAGCTAGTTAATTTTATACAATCTACTAAAATCTGCCATTATAGTGCATTAGGGCTAACATTTTTATGTGCTTTACAGTGCAGTATTTTGTTTGTGAGAGATTTTTCTGCAGTGAAAAGAGTTAACAGCAGGTAATGCCATTCATCTCAGAAGGAGTTTGAAATTTGCAGTGTTTGTGATGAATGAGGGTATCTGACCCACATCTGTTTTACATTAGAATGGAACATTGCCCTGACATCGTTAGGAGCATTTGTCAAGATTCCCTGGACAGAGCTTCTGTAAATTACATGCTGCAAATGTGTCAGGGTCAGATAAGAGGATATCATTAACTCCACTAAAGTTTACTCGTGATTCTGTCAGTTCAACTTAATACGTTAACTGCCAACCATTTTCCTTGAGCTGTTTCATTAAATCTTTCATTCACAGGAGGGGGAAAAAATGTATCACTGTACCCAAAAAATATCGCACATGTTCTTTTCTCATAAATCATATTAATTGCAGACATGGTCACAAAGCATATTAAATGCAGGCATGCGTAAATGAATTAAAACATATGAGAATTTTATTGTGCTTATGGTAGGTCCTACATCCTTAAATATCAACCACATTAATGGACATAGTGCTTCATTTAAATGGAATGAGCTTTTCTCACTTTAACGGACTTTATTTCGTTAATGATAGAAGTATTTTCTACCAGCTGATAGTGGACCAGATGTTGTGTACGTGGCGTTGAAGCTTTCATCACTCGATTTCTCTTCCTCCTGGATCATAACTTTACCCAGAGATGCTGTGTCAACTCCAACAGCTAGAGACTTGTTCCAACGAATGTTTCGGATGTTTGGGATGTGCTCCATGAAAACTTTTATAGAGTTGACTTGTTACCATTCATAGCGTTCTTTTTGATATTCCTAAATACACCTTCATTTTCTGCTAACAGAATACACTGATAACTTTATTAATTATATACACTGTCTTTTATTGTGTAAACTCAAAGGCTACAGATCAACATTTTTTGCTTCTAAGGAAAACAAAACATGTGATGTAAACCAGCCTGAATTTTTGCATTCATAGGAGTTATTTTCTAAAATAAATGGGACAATTACAGCAGCATTTGGTTCTCAATGTTAGATCTGCCCTTGATTTTCCTTCTTTTAATTTCTTTGAGATCCAGATTGGTGAGGGTGACAATTACTACTTCAATTTTCCCCAATTAATTCAGAGGCAAGTGCACATTTTCCGGTAATTTTAATGGCATGTGGACTGAATAAATGTTTCGCAATGGTTAATGAAAAAAGATCAGATCTGTTTACTTATTTAGTATTATACTGTTTAATGCCAGCAGAAGATCTGTGTTGCAAAACCCAGACCTTCCTGTGTCTTTTGTATGCTACTGAGCTGAAGGTGCTGAGCATCTTGCAGACGCGGCCCATTGATGGCTATCTAATTGATTAGGTGAAAGTCAGCCATGCCCTTCCTGTAACTTCTTGTATGGGTGATAAGGTCATGGCACATACCATATGAAAGACTTCTGCCCTAAGGCTACTTCCCTTGTAGCTTTCAAAACAGACATAACCAAAAATCTAATTATTTAGATACTAATCAACTACAGCATGATTCCTAAGGCTTCTGAAGAAGACATTTCTACGAAGATGGTTATCCCAGTTTTCCCCACCTCAAAGACAGGGTGCTGTGCCAGTTCTTCTCCAGACTGTCTATTAGGAGCATCTTATAAAGGATGTTTAAAGGCTTGTACAATTTTCTGGTTAATTAAAAAAAAAAAAAAAAATTGTTTTGGGCTCTGTTCTGTTGAAAATATTAAACAGAAAAGACCTAAGTTACTTAGAGTGTGTAGTTGGCAAAATAGCTACTTGCCCAACTTAGCAATCCATCATAAAACTCCTGGTAGAGATGGTATGTGATGTGAGAGCTCAAGTGCAGAGGAGTGGCATCAGGACTCCAGCAGGGCTGTGAGGGCAACACGAGCTCAGGTTGTTCTCCCTGCTCTTGAACTTGGAACAGAACATGGTAAAATGCCGTAAATATTGGGATTTCATAGGTGCTATACAGGAATGGAAAGGGCTGTGCGCTTATTTCAGATTTCTGATAAACTATGGATGTTTAAAACTGTAGTCAAAACCATGATGCTTGCGCCAAAGTAAATATTTTTCACAGCAGTAATTTTTAATATAAACATTTATGTTAAGATATGTGGGGTTTTTTTTGGGTGGAATTTCTTATTCTTTTAAGTTCGCAACCTTGATTTTAAAGGATGAATATTAATATAACCTATGTTCATTGAAAGTATAATGTATCTAACATTGTATGCTGCTGATGCAATGTCCTTTCGTTAAACATGCTACATTTTCACAATCATGTCCCTTTCCAACAGTGCAAGAAAAATATGTGTATTTCCTAAAACAGCAGAACTTACTAAAATAATCTTGAAAATTTGTAATACTTTTCAGAATTCAGTTTGAGGAGGAAAAGTTGGGAGTCCCGTAATCTCAGCTTTTAGTGTTTTTTTTTTTTTTGTGACAAAATGCCACTCAGGTTGCCTTTCTAGTATGATGATTTCTTAATCTCTGGTCATTCAAGGGATTTTTAAATTGCATCATATTAATCTCAAATTCTTTTAACAGGTTTTTGTGACTTGAAAAAGAGATTTGAATTAAGTATAAATATATAAAAAAATATATATAACATTCTGTACCTGAATCCAAGTTCTTGGTGTTTTTAACTTCAGTGCTAGGATTTCACAGTGAGGTGTGCCGAGTGCATCTCAAGACATGATTTATATGTGTGATGCAGGCATCTGGGCGTTACTTTTTGAAGTCCTCTGCTTATGCCTTTTGCTCTTTTCCTTATTAGACATGCAGGACCTGGATTTGTCTTCCTTCCTACTCTCTAATTGTGATCCCTGGGGCTTGTTTCATTTATTGATTAAAAACAAATAATTCAGAGCTTGCTGAGTTGGGACTATGAGCTCTCTGCAACAAAAATCCCTCTTCTGTTGAAATGGAAAATAAATACAATTGAAAAGGGACACCAAAACTTTAGGAACCAGATCTATTTCTATGAGCATGACTTTATTCTTCACAAAACAGACTGCAAATTTAATAATTTTTGGTAGGTTAGAATAAGTACAGTGAAGCAAAATGATTATCAAAAAGTGTGTGTCAGATATTTGTAATGCTTTTTTGGAGGAAGACCAACTTAAAATTATAGGTTATGTTGTTTTGGCAGAACGTTTCCTCTCTATCTTAACCTGCAAATTGTTTCTCAAGCTTTGAAGTGCAACTTTGTCCAGCAGAAGCAAGCAATTCTCTCAACAGAACTTACTTGCAAAATGCGCTGGGAATGCAAATACGCACCAGCCTATAATGTGAGTTGATGTTTGTGAACCAAGAACTTAGCACTGCAGCTTCCTTGACTCCTGTTCAAAACCATGGTGCTTTTGAAATCTTTTGTGCTTTTCTATTGGAAATTACACCTTGGAGGGCTGAGCCTTTGTAGACACACGCACGTATTCTCCAGTTAGCTCTTTCCATTTAATCTCAATTCAGTTGTCGATTTTATAGCTCTGTATGGGCAGCTTATTAAGGGAGTCACAGCACAGCTGACTTGAGGTCAGTCTGGACAGCCAGACCATTTCTGTTGTCTCCTCTAACTCAGGATAAAGTTGAGAACTGGTATAATGAGCAGCACCTTTTTGCATTTCAGATCTTCAGACCGGCACGCAGTGTATCCAGTGACAGGAGTTAGGGCTGCTCTGCCTCTTCCCCACATATTTACGTTCATATGTTCTTGGTGCTGGGATCTTTGGTACTTCTGTCAATGGTATTGCTGTGATTCACTCCAAATTAATTTCATTTTAGAGGCTGCTGATCTTAGATTAAAATAAAAAAGTATGTAAACTTGTTCATAGCTTTTTTGCGTTGCTAGACCATGCAGAACTGCATAGGTGAAGAGTCACTATCTGTTTCTTATTCCATTATGCTTGAGTTCCCAAGGAATAAACATCTGCAGAAATCCTGGTTGGGGCACAAGATCAGGCAGACAAAGATCACAATAGTTTTTGACATTACTTTTCCTTCTTTGCCCTTTTTGTGGGTTCCTAGTCATCCGTTTTTATTTTGATGGGTAATACAGCTTTTTCTGCTCTTTGTATTTGTTAGCTAAGCGTAGATTGAATGCCAAGTCTACCTGTTTTAGGAAATCAATGAAAGACTTGCGGACTCCTACAGCTCCTACAACAATACAGTCTTCCATGTGTTTTTACTCAATTATTCTACCTTTCATTTTAGGTAATGGGACTCTTGACTAATCATGGTGGTGTGCCTCACCAGCCCCAAACTGATTATGCCCTGTCCCCTCTGACTGGAGGTCTGGAGCCCACCACCACTGTCTCAGCCAGCTGCAGTCAGCGGCTAGATCACATGAAGAGTTTAGACAGCCTGCCTACATCCCAGTCCTACTGCCCACCAACCTACAGCACCACCGGCTACAGCATGGACCCTGTCACGGGCTACCAGTATGGGCAATATGGACAAAGTGAGTACTGCGATGCAATCATCATTTATCAGTTGTATGTATTTGTTTGTCTGTAACAAAGAAAATTGCAGGAATAGATACTAATGGCTGACTGCTACTACTCTCCAAAATCAAGTGGAGTGCAGTGGTGAGATAGCTGATTGTTTGAGCAAGATTTCTGCTGCATAATTATTTTCTTAAGTGATGTCAACAACATCTTGATGTTATTAATTGTTGAGACATGAAACCTGATTGCCATTAGGTAAAACATAAGGGCTGTCCAAATCGAAATAACCACTGGCATTCCATTATTAGAAACACATGTTCTTAATGAGGTCAGCTCAAGAATCATTACAGTATATAATCCCAGATACGTAGAGTTTTGTCAAACTTGTCCCAGGAATAAAAATATTAGTCCCTTTCCTTTGATATCTCAATATTAAATATGACAATGTCAACCTGTAGTTGGCATGGCCCCATGCTGTGAGGTTGTCACAGCATGACTTAAAAAGCTTCTTTTGTTTTTTTTTGCAGGTGCCTTTCATTATCTGAAGCCAGATATTGCATAAATGAACTGTCCACTTCAAGTTAAAGCTGGTGTTGTTTTCCGGTCTCGCTCCAGAGCTTGGATACCAGGGATCTTCTCAACACACTGCAGTCTAAACTGGGGCAGTCCCAGTGAGAGAAGTAGGCTTGTTCTGTTCTCTCCAGTCATAGCTTTTAGTAAACTTTTGAAGACTGAACAAAGCTATACAGAAGACAAAGGCCAAAAGCAATAATGAATAAATAAATGCGACATAGTTCATTATGAGTGGGTACACAAAACAGAGCAGAATTTAATATTGCTGCCTGGAAAACATTCCATTTTTTTGTTGAAATTAATATGCATTGATTGGGACAAATGGAACATTTTGAAATTTAGCAGTTGAGCTCTGCATACTCTGACTCATCTGGCATCCAGTGCTGACTTCAGTCTAACTTCAGTTAAACTTCAGTTAAAGCTGCCCAGTTTCTGAAGCATGGGCAGCAGAACCTCTTTCGTTACACACTGGAAATTGTCATCAAGAGGAAATGTCACAGACCTTGGGAAGCTAGGATAAATGCAAAAGACTTCCAGAGCAACTTACTGGTAATCTTACTATGCTTTTGTAATCATGCTGTCAATAAATGTCACAAGTTTTGCTTTACCAAGAGACAAGATCTCATGTAACATGGAAAATATATTCTATCTTTTTATGTGGAGTTTTCCTGGTCCATTGTACCTTTTTGAACAAACATGGAGGAAAAAAATCGACGTGACTGATTTTTTCACAACTGCCTAGCAATGTGCAATACTGTGTACCTCACACAAACTTTGGAATCATCCAAAGTCATATAGATAGAATCAGAACTATATTTTTGCAGGTACTTTTATTTTTGCAGTGCATAATTCCTAATGATCAAATACAGAAATGTTGCAGTGTGCTGGACAGCTAAAATCCAGCTTGTTAATCATGATTTAAAGGTCATTTTCAGGAAACGGTAATGAAAAATGATTACGTTTACATTTTTTAGTGATGTACAGGACATGAACAGAGATGGGCCTGTACATAACACAGTTGTTTAAATTATACAGTGATATCCAATATAGAAATTAATTATAGGAACCAAGGTTTACAAGAAGTTTGCATTGTGACATTTTAGAATGTCAATAAATTTGTGTTTTGTGATGTTGAGAGGAACAGGAAGATGGAAGGCGGTGTTATTTATTTCTCTCTATTCTTTGAACAAAGAGAGAGGCAGAACACAAATACATTCCTTTTAGTGTTAAGGACAATGAAGTAGAGCATTAGACTAGATTCAGTACAGAGGTTAGTTCGCACATTGGTCTTAAGGGAGGGGGAAAAATGAAATCTTTGTGTTACAGCCTCTACCAACAACATGTTGTAAAAAAAAAACAAATGAACAAAACAACAAAAACAAAAAACAAACGTCTTTCATGTAAAAAGTTCAGTAAATATTTACTATTTATAATGAATAAACAGTTATGAAGCCTTGCAAAGCACTGATGATTTTGTCCTAAAGTGTAGTATTGTGCTAAATACATTGATACATTTTAATCTGAATATCATGAAGAAATAAACCATGTTATCTTCAACTCAAGGTGTATTCCTTATGTCAATGTCTTCTGCACACAATCCAGAGCAGCCTTGGGCAGCCTCAGCGCGCAGGTGTTGCTTGTTTGCTGCTCAGAGGTCTGGGTTTGTCTTTTTCCAAGCACTATTAGTACTGTATGTCTTCCCAACAACAAAAACCTCATGCCTTTACTGTGCATTTGAAGAGGTTGAACTCAGCACCAGTAGGTCAGCTAGGATGGTTTCACACTGTGCTACAACTCTAATGAGTAATGGGTTATGGGCAGTTTCTGTACTGATTATTTTTTCATCCTTAAATGCCTCAGGAATTTGTTAACAGTTAGCAAAAAGCAACTGAAACATGGGGAAAGACCCCTCCAGACGGTTGGAATACATTTCAGTGGCACACTGTTGTTAGAGGATTGGTGGGCATTTAATTTCCCCGCCATTTTGTGAGGGAATTAGCCATCTTGAAATTTTCAGCTCTAATGTACTCATTGAGTTTTTATTTTTATTTCATTGTTTGGAAGAAAAATAGCTATCTTATCAGTTAGAAAATGAAGGAATAACATTTTTGAGAGGAAGACATTTAAAAATGCTGAAATGTGGAGAGAGGGGGTTTCTTTTCTCCCTTCTAGGTTACGTTTCTCTGGTACGCTTTTGATTTCTGTGGCAATTGAAGTTTAAGTCTCTTATTAATACCTATTTCCTGCTCTAAGCTTCTCATTTTTCTGATCTTTTTTTCCATTGTCTTTCCCTTTCTGAGGTCTTGACTGACGGCATTTGTGCACTGTCCTAGGCTTGCCACAAAGGTCTAATGAGCCTTTTTCCCCGGTTTGCAGTACATAAGCTGTAACAGGATACAGTTACAGTTACAGTACAGGATAAAAGCCACTTGCAGTTAGGAACTAGATGGTGTGATTGCTTCTTCCCCAAAGGGCTGTACCTTTAGTGCAGGCGGAATGATTCTAACTCCAACTTTGCCATCAGTCTTCTAACATTCCAGCAGCTGGGGTGGAACACAGCTGGCATTTCTCCCTCCGTCCCTGCAGAGATGCTGGAGAGGTGCTTTCTGGACACAAAGCTCAAAAGCAGGCACTTTTGCTGCCTTGATCCTCTATTTTTCAAGTGTCTCCCAGGATTTTCCTTGCATGAGATACTAATAAAGAGTTGGCAAGCCTGGAAACGAGACAGATACGGAGAAAATCATCCTGTTCTCTTGCAGGCAAGCCATGCAGTCAGGGAGCTGGGATGAGCTCGGAAGAAATGAGGAGCTGGGGCAGAGGGACGAAGCAGGTTTCTCCTGATTTATGATGTGCCATAGGAATTGTTGACAGAGCTGAAAGGATTACTTGGGGTACTCTGATCCCTCCTTGTTATCACTTCCAAGGCTGAAGAGCTTCTTGGGAGCCACATGTGTTTCTGGAATACAAATCCTAAGTGCTCAGAAAGTCAAAAGAGCATGAGACTGCAGTGGATATTTCATTTGACATAAATGCCATGGAAAAGCTTAGTGGAATGTTATATCAATTGAGTCCAAAACATACTCACTTACAAGAGTCTTCCCTCTTCCTTTTTTTCCCTTTTTTTTTTTCTTTCTGTGTGTGGGGTGGGGAGAAATATGTGTGTTGCATGTGCTGTGAGGTGGAAATAAACAACAACAGCTGTTTAAACCAAGGTATAGGACTTGGGAACTTCTGAAAGACAGCTTTTGATGAACAAATATTTATTAGTCTGGTACAATCCTGATTTTCAATTTATTATTGATTTTTAGAAAAATTACTGATTTTACATCTTCCTTTTATAAAAAAATAACCCGTACTCTCTAAAAAAAAATAAAAATAAAATCAACCAGAAAAAACAGAGCGATGTTGGTTACTGCTAATTTGTAAAGCAAACATTTTTCCTGCATCAGTAACCATGAAAGTTTCCAATGCTATCCATACAGTCTTCCGACCTTAAAGTCTGTGAAATGGATTGCTAAAAGATATGTCTGTAAAAGTAAGAAATAAATTTTAGGCAATATCAATGAGACCATCAGGAACCAGGAACAGCTTGAATTCATAATGCTCTTTGTATCGTTCACTGCAGTGTTCTGTTACTTGACAACTGAAAGAAAACCTACATCCTATTTTTAATTTATGTTGGCTTTTGCAATGATGTCTAGATATTGCCTAGAGCCAGATAAACTAATCTGGAACAACACAAATTACTACACTAAACTAAAGCACTAAATTTTCGTTCAATTAACATTAGATACATATTTCCTTTACATTACATAGATGACACTGTAATTGTCATTTGCCAATGCTGAAAAAGCCTTATGCATCTTTCAGTAACTGTGAATCTGGGCATATATCATATGGAGTCATAAAGTTATCTTAAAGAATCACACAAACTGATTTGAAGATCTTGGTCTATTGTAAAATAACCAAATTTTCAATCTGCTTCTGCTGTCACCGTAGGTAATAGCCACTTATGTCTGCCAGTTTTTTACTACCTATTTTCTCCCAGCACTTTTGGGCAGCTCACTCCAGGCTGGTAAGTTCTGATCAGTTGTAAGGAGCTGAAGGCTTCAACTAGTTAGATTATTAGCAAGGAACTGGTTCAAATATTTACAAACTATATATTGCACAAGTAGGCTTCAAAATCAGTGTATGTACACAGTGCTGGAGCTCGGTTCTGTTTCACTGTTGTGTTTATACAAGCAACACACAGAAGTGCTTATATGTAGCTTAAACCTTTGTTGAATACACTTACATTGCCTCAGAATTGATGGGTGTAGTCTCGTGATCCAGAGTGCCTGTGGATATCTCAGCACTGCAGCGTATTGACATGCACCATTTATTATTCAGCTTCTCAGGCAATGTCATAGAAAATCATAATAAAACTAGGAAGACACATCACATCTGACCTTTGCTGAATAATTTAATAAAGCTAGCTTGATATACAAATACGAAAGAGCAGTTGCTGATAAGAACAGAACTATTGCTTCCTTGTTCAAGAATTGGAAACAGTTCAGAAGCTTTATTAACTATTTGGTGTCTTCATCTTTGCTGCAGGTTGTTCCTTAGGCCATAACCAAAGGCTAAGCTGCTTGTTTCTTCCTGCACTCTCTTCCTCTTGGCTCTCATGCTGGTATCTTGTTCTCAGTTTTTCTTTGGTCTCTGTGCAATAATCCATATTTTTTGTTGTTTTATTTTTTTTTTCCCCATATGGATGCAATTTCATTTTCAGTAATACTTTCTCCCCACATATGTTTATTTGTTTGTAATTATTTCAAGTGGATATACCTATAAAAATGCAGCTCTTTTAGGTGATTATTACATGTACTCAGTTTTGAGATGGCCAGCTTGGACAGGGCTTTGGGTAACCTGCTCTATTAGAAGGCGTCCCTGGCTATGGTAGGGCACTGATACTAGCTGCTCTTTAAGGTTCCTTACAACCCAAACTGTTCTACATTCTA